TCATCATATATTTCACTATTTTCAGAAGGAGGGGGCAACAAACTCATATTTGACATATTGTAGAGAAAATTCTACAATGTTCGCTTTTAGAGTTTTAATCACACAATAATCATTTTTTTAAAGTTTAAACATTGTACTACTTACATGTGAGCTGGGCGTTTATCGTACTTCTAACTATTTTGAGATAAATCACGTGTCAATGTGCAAAATAGTGTTCTTTCATTTTTACTTAAAAAAGGGGTGGTATTTCTTAAAAAAATCGGGTGCAATTTCACCAAATCGGGTAAAAAAAAATTTAAGCGAGCAAATTTGCCCGCTAGACGGTTTAAGGGATAAACAAAAATGTCTAATAAACGAAAATATGAAATTACTAGTGATAGTAGAAAAAAACTTTGTGCGATCGGAACATGCAGTGTTGGTGATGAAGGTGCTTACAATGCATGTCAAGTTAAAAGACCTTCCAGATCAAAAGTTGATAGAATAAATTTTGGGGCAACTATGAATTATTTTATAATGATACTATATATAAATGTGTATGGTTTTGGAAATTATTTCAACAAGAAAAACCTAAATACAATAAACTTATATTATCAGATATTGCAATTCGTTTAGTTTTTATATCAGTTCATACTGGACAAATTAGAAATTTACTTAGAATCGCACTATTAGAAGGAATCAGTAAAACAGCTTTTGGTGATCTTACTGGTCAACAATGGGTAGATCATTATAAAATTTCTATTGCTTGGGGTGCTATCTTACTGACTCTTTTGCTTTCAACAATGAGATTAAATTTTTATCTTGTTAGAATTTGTAATAAAGATTTGGTAAAAAAAAACACAAAATGATATAACACTAGCAGATATTCTCATAAACCTCAAAATTTAGAAAATTCAGAATTAAAAGATTATTTTGATATTTTAGCAATATACTATAGAGAAATTTCTTGTGATAATACAGGATGTTTATTAAAAAATTGGAATTTTTATATGTGTTATCAATTTGATAAAAATGAACAAAAAGTTTGTATGCTTCTTGAAGAAGATGAAATAGATCAAAATATATTTGATATATCAAATTTTGCATTAATTATAGTGATTAATTATATGCAAAGATTTTTCAAAACTAGAAGAAAATGTACCAAAATACTACTACCAGATCCACAAAATCAACAACAACAAGATTCTAGATATCTTACAGATGCGCTAAGTTATTATTTAGAAGAAAAATTTTCACTTCCAGCAGAACAAAGTGGTTTACCAGTATATATTAGTGATAGAAAAATTGAAATAGCATATAGATATAATGTTGACATTGAAAATGCATTAGATTTAGCACAAATAATTGTACAGCAATTACAACAAGATCAAAATGGTAATGGAAAAATCTAATAGAAGAAGATGAACCAGATGCAGAAATTTAATTTAATTTTTTTAATATAAATATAGGTGTTGTTTTTTTTTTTATTTTTTAATTTTTATTTTATTCAAAATGTCTTGTAAATACAAATATAATAATAAATTTGAATATTGTTGTTATCATTATCCTGAGTCAATTGATAATAAAAAACCAAATGTTGATGAAACACATATTACTATTATTATGGCCTTTGAGCAAGTATTAATACAATATTATTCAAATCAACAAACAAATCAAGACCAAAATCAAGAACAAAATGAAGATTAAATATTACCAAATTAACCAAAACAAGATGAAGATGTAGAAATAGATAATCTTCAAGCAAAACAACCTGAACAAACTCCTCTACCTATAATTAATAATTTGTTTGATTAATTAAAAAAAAAATTGAAGAAACCCAAAGACCTGATACAATAAAATTGATTGATAATGGAAATTTAGATCAAAGAATAAATAATTTAAAATTATTGCCAAATTTAATTAATGATTTACAAAAATTAAGAATATCAAGATTAGATAAATTACATCTTGAACAATATGATTATTATACTGATTTAAAAGATAAAACAGAAGAAATTTCAATGTTGAATAATTTATTCAATATTATTAACAATAATAAAGTTTTAACAGCCATACAAATATCAACTTTATTAAAAAGTATAAATAATAAAATTTATAAAATTAATCAAAAAAAAGAATATGATTCGATCAAAAATAGAATAATTAAAGAAAAAGATTTAACTTGATTAGAAAATATTTGGAAAGATACTATTGATAATGCTAAATATCTTGATGATAAACAAAAAGATAAATTACACAAACTTAGAAATATCCAAAAATAGAAAATTCAAGGTTTAAAAAAATTTGAACAATATAAATCAGAAATTGAAAATAAAGTATTTATTTCAAATTTACTCAATGAGAAATTATTTGATATTTTAATAACAAATGATTCTTTATTAACAAAACAACAAAAATCAACTTCATATATTAAGAAAACAAAGAATTCAAATCTTAACAAATAAAGTATTTGATGAGCTTAAAAATAATATAAAAAATGAATAAGTTTCAAGTAAACTAGAGGATAAAGGATATTATGATAATAAAGTTAATAAGATTTGTGAAGAATTCTTAACAAATAATCGAAAATTAAAAGATCTACATATTCTTAGAAAATAGAAATTAGATTCAATTCAAAGTGAAACAGAAGATGAAATATATGATATTATTTTTGAATTAATTGATAGTTTTCAAAATTTAAATGAACTTAATGATAACTCAGAACTTGCCAAAAATATTTTAAAATTAAATGAAATACTACTTACTGAAGATAGAAAAATCGATAATTTAATAACTAAAAGAAAACAA